CATGCTTCTTAATTAAGTCTAATGCATTATTCATGATGCCCTTTTGGCTCTGGCATGACATTGCCAGCTGTGGTTCACTGCTTACACTCCTGATGGGAAAGCACAAGATACTGTAACACTTATCTTTTTCTTTCAGTACCTTAGCTCTCAGTGATGGAAAATGTAACTTGAGAACTGTTCTATCAAATACATTATAAACTATTCACCTCTATCACAACATGTAATGTTTTTTATAACAATACATTATGGAAATGCACATGAAAAGAACTGCAGGGAATTATGTTTGGTATTTTTTTTCTGTCTGAGAAACTTCAGTATGTTTAGTTGGTATTCCCAGGTGATCAGATACACTATTTCACTACTGTAGAAGATGATAGGGAAATACTGCAGCTACATCACTTGAGAGATTTTTAATGGCATAGACACTACTTTCAGAAATATCATTAAAAAAATAAATGGTATCAATATTTATGCTGCACCATAGAGTTATCTGTTTGCAGAAGTGGTATTAAGAGGATTTCTCCACTCCTGGGAGGTGAACAAACCACAGTGCTCTCCAACATTTACACTTCTAAATGTTTTCTCCCTTTTAACACTTCCCACAGACAATATTATGTGCAAAGATGCCCCCTCATTACATGCAAAACCACCATCTTTGGCTCAGGAAATGCTCAAGTCATCAATCTCCTGATATTGGGATAGCATTCTGGAAAAATGTCATGACATGCTTTACCCTGTACCTACATTCTTCCTGGGCATCTGCTTTGGCACTGTTCAGAGACGGGTAACTGGGCCAAACAAGCTGCTGGCTGTTCTTACATTAGCATGTCTTATGTAGTCCTTCATGAGATCAGAGCCTGATTTTGACTTTTCTTTGGCACTTCATACAAATTAGCTTTCCAAAAGAGTATGAAAGGTATCTAGCAAGAGGTTAAAAATTCATGTTTCAAGAGAAAAATTACCTGAGCATACAGAATTAATGAAAACTGACAAATATATTAAACCCCCCCTTAGTCTACATATAACATCCTCTGTTCAACATGCTCTCATAATCCTTTATAAACATCCATTGATCTGTGTAAGCATCACACACTGATTTTTTTGTTCTATATGATAAACATGAGTTACCTGAGCCAGGCTTTTTTAAGATGTATTGAAAGTCATTATTCATACACCTCTCTTCACTGTCTGGATTTTCTGTAGTTCTATAAATGCAACAGTGACCTTTAAAAGCATTAATTGCATTTACTTTATTTTCCACACTTTCCTGTTTCCAGAACATGATTAATTTTTGGCAAAGTATATGCTTCACACAGCTGAAAACTCTGGCAATTCACAAATATAAATTAGTCAGACAACAGGAAACACTGTCCAAAATTCTGCCATCATTTAAGCCATCCAAACACTGAAACAAGTAAAGCAGCACAGAAGAACATAGTGTGTTTTATCTTCAGGGTGTAGAGTTTTTCTACATTCAGGAAGCAGCTTTAACAAGCAGAATTTTGGTTATTATTTTAAGATTGGATTTCTGAAGACAGAAAAGAGTACTACTACAGACTTTTCAAGAAACCACTTATTAATGAGAGTATTTGAATTTACTTATCTTGTGCAAAGTTTCTTGGAAAAACTTAGTTCTAGAAGCTTATGAAATTGATCCCTTTCATTCTTCTATCCACTTAATGGAAAGTTAAGTACCTAAAAGGACAATTTTCCTTGTGTACTTGGCAAGGTATATATAACTCTGAAAGGAAGAATTGTAACTGGGTCTCTTCGAATGTATTAAGGATAGACTGAGGTGGCCTCTCTAGGTCACATCTTAAAAATTAGTCTATAGAAATATGCAGACTTACTGTTAGCTGTTGTGTTCCAAACACAATTAAAGTAGTTAAGTTTGCAGGTTAACCTTCAGAGTGCCTTCCATGAACACTCAGTTCTCTTATAATGTACCACCTTTAAAAGAAAAAGGATTTTTTTTCCCCCAGCACAGCTACTGCTATTATTTAAATTATTTAAAGTAGTGTCATTGGATTATTATTATTTTTAAGAGTCATACAATTCCGACAAAACCTCATTAATCCTTAGAGGACCTAGTAGTCTGACGACAGCAAACCTAATCTTACACACAGAGAGTCACTGTGCATGGGAAAGAGACTTAACAGTTATTAAATACAGTGTGTGATGCAGGAAAAGATGGATTAGTAGCCCAATGCAGGAAAAGTAAAATATTTATGCTACACTGTGTAGGAAGAGAAAGACTGAGAAAATTAAGCAGAGGATTTCCCTTTGGGAAATAATTTAAAACACTGTTTTATACCAGTTTTATAATATAGGAGACATGGTAGTGGAATATATCCTGAGATCACAATATAAATAATTCACGCTTCAGTAATAATCAGAATCTACTTACTCTGAAAAGGAACATTAACTAAAACTCACAGCCCCCTCCCTCTTTTTAGTCTCATTTAAAGGTGACCACACAATGTTTTAGACATGGAAAGTGAAGAATGGAAAGTGTTTCACAGTAGTTCATAGCCATTTGCTGTAAGATGAAATAGCGGAGTCCAAAACCTAATGTTCATTGTCAGGATCTCCCAGTTGCTGAATACTTTTTGCATTCCTATGAACTATCATATTAATAAGGACAGCCAGGACTTGAAAGGAGTCTTTATTATTCAGGTTTCCTTAGTTCTGAACAATTACTTTTTAATGACCGATCAGTTTACTAGAAGAGAACAGAAAGCATTAATGATGAGATAGTTTACCTGTCATGTTTTATAGATCCATGTTTACTGTTTCTTACTATCAATAGAAGTTGTATATATTCTTTACACGGAAGGTCCACAGTGACACACCACTCACTCTCCTCCAGAGTCACGTCTCTTAACTGCTAAGTTGACATTATAGATCACCTTCTTGTCATCTTTTTTAAGGAGATAAAACAATGTACTGAATACGTCTCCACTTATAGAATGGCCTTATGCGGGAACACAAAGAAGCTCTCTACATGCTTCCCCCCCCTGCCCAAGCATGAGACTCCAGGCTGGGCACCATTACTCTTAACCCACAGTAATTAGGCAAGAGTAAACCCTGCTGCCATCAAGAAAGTGTCATTTTGCTAAAAGTACACACCCACAAGTGAGATAAAATGACATAAACTGGATTCTCTTAAATCTTCTCACACACACATTAACAGTGTTAAAATAATCTGATTGCGTGGTTTTGAGAAGAAATAAAGGGTAAAGTAAGTTATACCCTACTCAAGTTTGATCCACCTCGCAAATGGTGTGTGGTGCAGAAGACATGTTATGCCAAAACTAAAATTAGTCTGTGTACATGGTAAAAAAAGCAATGAAAATTTTACTGAAGATGCAAACCCAAGTGTTTTGTAAATTCCACTTCTTTCCCATGGTGAAATTCTCTTGTGTACAATTATAATTTACTAAGCTTACTGTTGTTGCAAAAGAAAATAATAAAAAAAAAGTTGTATTAAAGTGCCCAATTGAACTCCAAAGAGAATCATTTCCTGCATTTGGAAAACAAGCTGCAGAAGAATCAAATTTTATATGAGTTTCCTTTTTCCTGACTCTTCCTTTGGGGTGCGTTAGTTGTTTACTTCTAAGAGCAACACCTAACAAACACAATATTAAATGTTTTCCCAGAACCACTTGTGTGAAACAGGCTCTATTTAAATAGCTTTTAAAACAGTTAACTAGCATAACCGAGCCCTCCTGATAGCTACCTATGTGAGCATTACATTTCCACTTGTTTTAAAGATAGGTTTTATTTTTTCAAATTCATTTCTACATTGAATCCATTAGAGACAAATTGTGAATAGTGCTTTATGTCTATAAAATACCAGAAAAAGCACAAAGGGTGCTAGGACAAAGGACCAGTGGGTTTATATAGGTCATGTACTCAGGTCTCTTCTGTCCAAGTGGGGGATCCTACACTAGGTGTGAGGATGGTCTTGAGATTTAGACGCAGAGGAAGGACAGAAAGGAGGGTCACAGCATGTAGCTGCTGGGTGGCAGATTCTGTTACAAACCAAGGAGGCACATTTCTTCCAAGGGCTGCTGCCACAAGGTGGATTGCCCTTATCCTTCCCCACCTCTCTCTCCCAAGATGAAACTTACAGCCACAATGCAGCCTCAACCTGTAGGATTTCATTTGAAGCAGCATTGTTCAATTATCCTGCTGTATGAGGAACAACACTCCATTCACACAAAAGCTGTAAGATTAAGAATGCCAGATGAGGAACCAACTATCATAATGTTAACATAGCCATAGCACAAAGCTTATATGGAGATTTTGTGGACCCAGTAAATGATGGGTCTACTCCAGCTCTGCTCAGAGTCTGCTAACCCCTTTGCCCTGTCTGGATGACAATATTGCTGTCTCTGATCTTTGCTAAAGCATGGTGTACAAGACACACAGATATGCCAAGAGAGTTACTGGCAAAGCATCTGGTAGACACTCTGAAAATTACTCCCCTCAAACATGCCTCAACTGGAGAAACACATTTTTCCCAAGAGGAAAAGCATGTAATATACAGTTACTGCTACTCTGTCCAAGAGATATGAAAACAGTACCTAAAAGGCTTTTAACTCTACCTGTTATCCTAAAAACCTCCTGTCTGCACATGATCACATCAGGATTAAAATCTTGGAAGTTGAATTCTACACTTGGCTACACCAAGATGTTTCTAACACAGTGAACTATGGGCATAGTTACTCTAAAACCCTAATATGCAGGCCTGAGGACCAAGGTAAATAAAATCATTGCAAACTCCAGCTTGCCCTCACCTATTTCATGATGGCAGTTGCAGTGAATTCTGGCCACAGATGCTGACTCGGGACTATGCCTGGGGTTGTCGAGGCCTCAGTTGGTTACGGCAAAGCAATCCATGGAGCTGCAGCTGCAGCACTCGCTTGAATACATGCAAACTAGGAAACAAGCCCTAGCTTTGAGAGGGTGTGAAAGAATCCTGTTCAGTTTGGGTGCTACATCACAAAATAAAGTCTTTCCTGTCTCAAAAAGAAGCATTTAGATTCTTCTGATTGATGCTGGATGAGTAATTTCTTCTACGGGACCTTGATGAGCCTGGCTGCACTGATAGCCTGACTTGAAGTTTAACACTAAAACGACTAATGTGAACAATGAATCTTCAGTGAGCTAACCAGGCTTTAATAATCCTTTAAGAGCAGCTAGCAATAACTGAGCAGCATAATAGCAAGTTTCCCAAAACCGGGTCATCATGCAGGAAACAGGGGCTTGTGTGTGTGAGAGACAATGATTACAGTATTTAATGATCACAGTTTCACCGCTCCAACTATTCTTGACCACAGTGTCTACTTTTAGACAATATAGTGATCGTGGTCAATGTATTCATACCACGTAGCAGTCAACAGGAAATCTAAATTTAACATACACAGTACCTAAATTCTGAAAAACTTAGTCTGTCAAAATTTTTTTTATTTACTTGACTTCTTGAGTTTCTCATATATGAAACATCACCAGATACCACTCTAACTTCTAGTGCTTCAGGAAATAATCCGAAGAATGAGTCAGTATCAGTTCATTTTAATTTGTTACGATATGAACTGCCTGTAGAAGCTGGCTGGGAATTAAAAAATAGCTACTATTGCACATATGCTGCGTACATGCACATATAATAATAGTTAAATAAAAGATTAAAATTTAGTTTGACTATAAGTATGTACTAATGTATATAAAAAGGTACTACGATATAAACAGTATAAATAATGTTGCTCTATGCCTACCTACCATTTTATTCTACCTTTTCACCATAGTTAACACTTACCATTAAGTAAGCTTTGCCAGTAATTTAATATTTAAATTGTATTAAAATATTTTAGCACTAAAGTAGCTAAAAATACAGGGGCTAATTTAGTCTTCTGTCTCACACATGTACAAATTCACTGAAGCAGGGATAATAATGAACAGAATTGGGCCCCAAAAAAGTTCTAATTTGACACTAATTAGTAATAAAAGGCAATGCAAACTTGTGTTAAACTGATTACACCCATATAGCAATATCTGCATAATGGCTTTAGCTGCTTAGCAACAAAAGCACAAGAATACCAGATAAAATGAATTATAAGCTCTGATTAGTCCCAGATGAATGTAACAGTAGCCAGTCAGTTAGGTTAATTTGCACCATATATCATAAATGACACTCCTCTGAGCTATTATTGCAGAAGACATTTACTTTTTTGTACAAATACACGTAAGAGAAATAAGACTTGCTTTTACATTACCAAGGACAGTTTTGGTCACATACTACAGTGATTCTTCTTAAATTAACTTACAAAACATGACATGAAGACATCATAAGCATATAATTCTCTTTCCTTTTAGATGTTCTCTCACAAATAAAAAAGTCACTTCAAAAACGGAACTCCATTTTACACCTTCTGTAGCGCTTCACCTTTCCTTGTACACTATAACAACATTGTACTACTAGACTTCCAAATCCTCCTTGGAAACATTTAAATACAAGCCTACACAAGTCGAAGAAGGACTGATTACTCTTGTCTTTACAGAGGTCTGAAGCAGAAAGAGGTTCAGAGATTTGCCAAAATAACAAAGGAACATCGTGACAGCTGAAACAGAAATAAAACCTCCTAAATGTCAGCTTTACAAACACCAGCCTTCTAGCATTAACCAGAGTGAGCTAGATACAGTGCAAACACACAGAAAGAAATAGTACCTGAACTGGAATAGTCATAATCTAGGATAAACCAGTAGTAAGCCACTAGGTAGAACATAGCAGGTAAGGGATCGACATTGTTGTAGTAGGGTCACTACAGTCTATTCCCCCATGTCTTCCAGTTTTGCCAGTGTCATGTGGCTAATCTCTAGTTTACAACACCAGAACACAGGAAAGAACGAATGGCCTTGCAGGTCAACTCAGGAGCTATGCTATGAATAGATACACTGCTTTTAACACGCAGACAGTTGTAAGGGGAAAAAGAAAAATGTTTTTATGTGTGGAATAAGCCTAACTATTCACCTGTAGTAACTGGCTTTCTTTATCCTTTATTTAATTACTTGCTTTCTCTAATAGAAATAGCTAGAATGGCGACCAAGGGTCCTTTAAAAGTGATACGACTCTACCATGCAACATGAAAATTGCTCTGTTCTAGTAGTACTCTCTACTCTGTGCCTGTGTACAAAGCAATTTTCTTGAATGCAGTACTCTGCAGGAGAGCACTATTTTCAAATTTATCTAATTTCATTAGCTTGGATGAAAGAGCAAATGTTACATGTTAAAAGCAGAGAATTATTGGAATAAAGCTTTCACTGTCTTACTAAGCAAAAAAGAAAATCTGATTTATCAGGGTAATTCACTATAAATTCTAAGGTACGCACATATAGGTGTATGCATCTCCTAGGCAGAGGTATAGAACATTTTAAGTACCATGAAGAAGGCTGACAGGGGTGTCTGAGGAATAAAGTGAAGTTTGTTATACTTCTGTTTTGTAGAATATCAATTTCCATTAAAAATGGTTTTATTTTCACAGTTGTGAAACTTCCAACTGTGAACAAAGCATCATAAAAACAAGGATGTCTTCAGAGAAAACAGCTTTACTTAAACCCTCTCCGACAGCCACCTGACAGAATCATTATCAATGAAACCTAATGTTCACATTGTTCCACAGTTCACTGAAGCATGGTATGAGGCTGGAGTGAAGAGGACACTGGAGAGGGGAACTGGGTAGCACCAGCAGTATTGTCAGGTAAGAAATTCCTTATTGAAAACACAAGGAACCAGCGCAAGAAAGAAGATAGGAGGAAGCGTGAAAACAGAATGTAGACAGCAGTAGTACTGAAAATAGTCATTTTATCAATAACAGACACAAAGAAGTTCGGAATAAATAAAAGGTTTTGATAAGCAAAGCTCAGTTACTGCAAAAATGCTGTACCCTGTATGCTAGGCCTTGGGCAAGTTGTGCTATGGGAGTGCCAAACACAGAACGCAGTATTCTTCAGTTATATCCCAGCTGACAGACCACATGCAGAACAGAACTGAAGCCTGTGAATGCATTGATAGATGCACTGGCCGTATTATGACAAAACAAGAAGGGAAATGCTGTCACAGTATAGGAGTGTTGAAAAAATACTATCCACAGGTGTCATTGCTTTGTAAGATATACTACACTAAAATATCTGAGCTTGTTACACATCAGAACACATCAGCTGAGGTCCTGCCCATAGATTTTACATTCTTTCTAATGTGTAGGACTGGGTTGCTGAGCTCCTATCTTGAACTATTGCATTAAAAACAACATATATCAGCTTTACACACTTTTTCCCAAGCTTTGGAACAGAACCCAGCTTTTGACTTTCAGGTCACTGCAGAAGATTGCAAAACAATCCCTGAAGCATAATATTTTAATATATATAATTTTAATATAGAATGTTGATTTTTGAGGGAGCTCATTTTTTGATGGGCTTAAAGAAAAATGGTTTGATCAAAGTTAGCATTTGGATTAAGTAGGAACATGAGAACTAACAGTCCCAAGAATATTCCTTTAAAAATAAGGAAGATGGGATTTCTGAAAGTAAATTCAGATATGTAAGGCTAAAAATACATTAGTATATAAAGAGTAATGCTGTTATTAGCCATATTTTGCATGATTTCTGAATTCCAAGATAATTTTAAGTATGATCCCTTACTTCTTATAACAATGGTAATATCATATAGTAAGTGATACTAATGAAAAGTCTGCTCTATATAAAACCCAAACACTACTGAAGCATATTTCCTATAAAAAGCATATACGCAACTTTCCTGCAATGTCTTCACCTTATTACTGAAGTAAAACACTGATACAAAGTCAAACTCCTACATTCCCATTTTTGTGGAAGAGGAACAAAGGAAAGTCTCATTACCTAAAGTAAACCTTTGAGTGCTTTGACAATGAATACTGAGTCAATCTCCCCATTAAGTCAGGGTGTATATGACAAATATGCTCTACTAGAAATGCAAAATTTAATTCCAGCATGATCACTTCAGAGACCAGTTCTGCAAAGTCCAGCAGCTGTGGCAGAGCATATAATCACAGCGTAACTAACTATACACTACTGTTAAATACATTCTAAGCTCTATTGTACAATAGCTCTTGTCTCAGTAAAGCTATTTTAACCATAGACCATGTTTGTTCGAACAAGTTTTTCTACCTGTTTTTTTCACTGAACCTAAGCAAATCATTCAGTGACTCATTTACTTGGTACGTTTTCATTTGTTGTCATTCATAAATAATTTATAACTGTAGCAGACATATTGCATTTACTTTTACATATGTTTTGGGTTTTTTGTTTCTTTAGAAGGAGTTCTTTGCAAGTAGCTCATAGCTGTGCTCAAAAAAACCTCTTCAATTTTTCAGTGGTGGACTTTTAATTTGATTTGATATCACTAGGTGTAGTTTTTGTTTGGTGAGAGTCACTGGCCTATGACTTGTAACTACAAATCACTTAACTATCAGTTCCTCTAAGTTGAAGCAAAGCCACAAACTATAAGATGATGAGGAAAATTTCTGAATATCTTTCTTTGATGAGTGGCTTTGAAAAGCAGGGAAGAAGGCAGAACGCAGAAGGCATGATAGAAAAGAAGGGAGAACAGAGGAGAAATAGAAATGGAAAGAAATCTCCAGGAAACCAGAGGAGTAGCAGGAGAACCTTCTGTCATAATTAACGTAGCCCTGATCTTTACTGATGTTCTGCCACATGATTTACATCAGTTTGCTGATACATTTATTTACACTTCAGTGAGTGCAGTCTGCCTTAGTCCTGAAGACCCCTCTCTGTTCACAATTTATCCCTCACCCTATACGATCTCTTTAGCACTTATTTTATCACTTTCATTTTTTATTACTTACCTGAAATAACATCCTCAATCCTAGTTCTAGAATAAAAAATACGTTAAAACATTTAAAGAGTATGTTCACGCATATATTCAAATTAAATGAAAACCTGAACACATGAAACGTCCTCTGTAGACATAAATTGTACACACACCTTCCTGGGCCACTTTTTTGTGTCAGCTTCAAAGTACATAAAACACTAATGAATCTTTGCTATTTTAAGAACTGTATAAACATATTTAATATCTGTTACTTGCATACTTGAACACACTATAATCTTGATCCAACTAGCCATCTTCCTATGGCTTTCCTACTGCCCTGTTTATCTTTCCTGACAACTTTGCTGGAAGATCTTTTAGTTACAGGTTTTCTGTAATTCTGTACATGTAATTATTGTGCTTGCTCATTAGTGCCATACACAGTTCTGGTTATAACATGTGACTGTGTAGGTATTTACATATGCACACACATACACTCATACACACCATTAGTAGCTCTTAATTTTGTTCAATATGCTAATTTAATTATTTATCTGATCTACCAAATGTTTCCATTAAGTCGACTCAGATACTCAAACGTAGTATCTTACTGGAAGAAAAAACAAAACAAAACAGAAGTTTGAAGGAAGTTGATTGCTTTTCAGGAATTTTATTTAAAACATACATATATACTAACATTTAAGCTTACCACCTTCAGGTCAAAACCTCACCCCTTTGAAAAGAATGGTATGTTTAGTTCAGTGGGCAAAAGTTCAAACCTTAGTGCTCTGAAATAGTAAACAGTTTATCAAGCACTTAAAAAATAAAGGATGCTTCTGTAAATGCAATTATATATGATTGTTATTCTACCTGCATGACAGATTCACCACTGGGGGGAGGTATAGGCGAGGGAGGGGTAGGGTTTGTCCATAAAGCTTTCTGGACAATCAGGTAAAAAAATGTCAGCTCAGCTGAATGGCAAGAGAGAAAAAAGAGAGTAAGAAATGAAACCCAGAAATACGAAGTGAACACTACTGGTTTCAAGCACTTTAACTGGGTTCAGAAATCCTACAAAGTCAGCAACACCATCCAAACATTCACTTACATTTAAAAAGCAAATACAAAACATGTGCTATGAAGAGGAATTCTGTATGAAAAATTACCAACAAAGAACACACCACAGGAACAGGCTCTCATTATCTATTCGCTCTCCCTTTCCTTCTACCTGCTCCTCAAGCACATTAACATTCGCACTATATGAACTTAATAAATAAGCAGTATTTGTACTTCCTTTCTTTTTTGGACATTTTATATACTACACAGCACAAGAAAACTGAAAAGATGAATGTTCTGCCCTAATCTCATTTCCAACATAATTTTAGAATTTTTACTCTAAATACTGGATGTTAAAATAATCTGTACTTAATTCAACACATAATAGAACAACAGAACAAACCCCGAAAATGGCACCTCATTTGTGAGTTATGCATGTGGGGGTTTTTATATTTTTTAACTCACTTACTGCCATCTCCTGGTACTTACAAGGTAATAGTATTTATGCTATTAAAGAGCAGCCAGTACTCCTGTTGAATACTACTGAAATGCCAAAAATGTCCTAAATATTTTTTAAATAATGCTGTACTTTTTACATTGCTACCTTTTATTCTGTAAATAGTAAATATTGTTCCTTTGGAATAAACTGGTAAAGGGTTCATGTAGCTTACCTTCGTCTGGAAGCAGCAGTACAGTTGTGTTAGGTATGGATGTTTCCGTGCTAATGCCAGAATTCTCTTTTCTGTCATTGTACAGTCTACATCATCATCCTGAAGTATGACATCTTTCTTCAGGACTTTCACTGCATATACTTCATCTTTTCCTTTTAGCTCAGCTAACATTACCTAAACCAAACAGAAATTCTGTTTACATATGAACAACAAATACCATAAAACATGTTGTGTATGAGTTTGACTTCACTGAGAATACAGATACATACTTGCCTGAATTAAGTTGTAAGTTTATGAAATCAAAAGTGAAGTAATGTAATTTTAGAAAAATATACCTCTGGTACTCTTTCAATTTGAAAGATGCTATCTATTCTGTTTGATAGTAAAGAATACAGAAGAGAAAAAGCTTTTATCCCCTCATTCAACAATATTAACGAGTACCTATTAGCAAGATCTCAAAATATAAAAAGGAAGGAAGTTGATACAGAACAGGAATTTATTTCCCACTTTTATCTCCCACTTTCAGTAGTGAGATTTGTGTGTGACGAACTTAGCATACAATCCTATGCACCATTCCGTCTGCTTTAAAGTTGTTGATTTTAACTACTATTATTGTTTAAGGTTCAAGTCCTATACTCTGTTTAAGGTCAGTTCTGGCTTGGAGCCAGGGTAATCGTCAGAGAAAGGATTAGAAAACAGGGAGACAAAAGAACTGCTTCAGCCCTTCAACCCCGTACATCTGCAGTTCCCATATATGAAGGAAGGAAGAGTGTACTTGTGAAACAGATTCGTATTTCAGTCCTCCTCATTTATTCCACAGTTCGCAGCCGTGTGAAAACAAAATCTATAAGCCCTGTAAACAGATAAATGCCCTTTCCACTCTCATCAAATCCCTAATGCAGGAAGGTAGCTGGTGAGTTTCATCTTTGCTGCATATGTGGTATTTTGGGCAGCTGTCTAAGCCTTTTGCACTCCTCATATCTGAGTGGAAATGCTTGAGTTCCTTCAGCACTGAACACACCCACAGAGGAAAAACAAGCGCACAAACTGTTCTATGAAATATGTAAACTTGAACTGGGTATCATTTAGAAAGAGAATGAACTCAGAACTCCACGGCATTATTCCTGGGCTGATTTTTCCTGCTTGACCATAACCAATTATCTTGTTGAACAGTATGTATGTATGTCATTCATTACCAATCTCCTGAAATAGTGAAACATTGACATTTTGCTTCAAAAGGCTTGACACTAGTTAATGGAGTGAGCTGAAACACAGAAAATGCCAGTCAATCAGGGGGCTGATACTCCTGATCTGCGGGGTATAACATGCTTATCCCCAGTGGGTAAAAGGAAAATCTTAGGGTGGAAGTACTTTCTGAATGTTACTGCGAATACTTTCAAAGCAGTACAGTAATAAAACCCCTATACACCAGTAAAAAAAATCCCAACAAAATAAATAAACAACCCCCAAGCTACTGACCTTGCCAAAGCTGCCTTTCCCTAATACTTTGATGAAGTTGAACTCTTCAAGGCCTATTCGCTTGGTCTGGGCCTGTTTGACCTCCCCATTTTCACCATTCTCCCCAGGTTTGTTAAGCTGGTTATCTGTTGATGTTGTAGCTGCCGCTCTGTGTTCCTCTCCCCGATTGTCAAATGATAATGCTTTCCTAATGTTGTTTTCCAGCTCTTTGATTTCTGTGGAAATGTGAGAAAAAAGTGTTTGTTTTAAGCAACCATCAGAAAAACAGCTTGTATGAGTCTGTATCAGCTTGGGAAGGGATATTCATCATCCTCAAATGCTGTGTAGACTATTCTGTGGTTAAGGGTACGTATTTAGCAAACTGCTTCTCCACCTTAGAGTGATCAGCCAAACCCCTGCTCTAACAGGAAGGGTGGCCTTTTAAAATGAAGCAAAGAGGATGACATATCCAAAACTTGAAAGATAAGGCAGAATAGTAGCCAAATAGTTGTTTTAGTGCTTTTGGGTGTTCCTGTACCACAGTGAAGTACTTTGTTTTGAATACCCCTATCTTCCTGCAGCACTTACTCATCTTCCTCCTTAAGTATTTTAGATATTCTAGAGTTGTGTCTCCAAAAGTTCAAAGGATAGTTGGGCACCACAGTCCTTGAAGTCAAACAAAATGCAGCATCTTACTCAGATCCAGCTGTAATCAGATGCCTGCCAAAGTATTTGACCACTTCCTAGTGCCAATTCAAGCAGCAATTATGTAGATTTGCTAAATAGTTCTGAGGGTTTCTCCATGTTAAATACTCAGTGTTGGTCCTGGTGACTAAGAGACCTCGGTGTCTGCCTCAAGCTTTTGCCTTGGATAGCCTTGGAAGCAACAGCTTTACTGGACAGCTGTCTGTGAAACCAAAAGGTTGACAAATTAAACGAGTTCTGGACTCAGAGTTTTACAATACTTATTACCATGGAGCTTTGGCAGTATCTTCCTGAAAAATAAGGATGAGAAATTTCTCAATTATAAACAATTTCAAAGAATTTGACACAAAAGTATCCATCTTGGTGTAAAGATTTTTCATCCATCAGTTTACACATGTGATGGTACATAAGAAACCTTATAGACTTCTGATTTTTAAAAACAACAATCAAATCAGATTCAAAAAGTGCTGCTGACATACACGTTCTGTCAATCAGGGCAGTACAGCTCAATGAAATCAGGTCATATCAGTGATGATTAAAATATCTGTCTTTAAATCTATGCATGGAAAAAAATCACTGAAATGAAGCATGGTTTTACAAAGCCTCTAGAGACAACACAGATGCTATATTTAAAGGTTTTTTAGATTTTAATAACTTAAGTTTTTATTATCAAAGATCTTCAACATGGAATTGCAAGGAGGCAATTTGATCTCAAAATCTTATTAATAGATTGAGGGTTTTAAATAAATAAAGGCTCTCTCAAGTTCTGTGGTACTATTTAAAATGTTCTCACTCTTACAATAGAATATACAACCTCCTTACATAAAGATACTTGGTTAGGCAAGGACTCGTCTAGTAAATTTCACAGTATTTTAAGCTGACTTGTAGATTTTTCCCTTTAAGAGCTATTTAATTTCACAGATTCAAATGAAAGGAAAAGCTGTCCCTTTTAAAAAGTTTTTGACATTCATAACCTTAAGTGCTTCAACTTCTGGTAGTAACTGCTTTGTTGATTTGACTCTCCTGAGGCTGTTGCTCATAGTTTTTTTACTCCTTATAAAGAAGATAAGAACTAAAAAGAGATATTCAACCTTGATCACATGGAGAAGTTGGTGCTGACTTTGACCTATCTTCTTCTGATGATGCGCTTCCAGGAACTGGTTGTTGAGTCTCTGCACCTGCAATTAGCTAAGAACAATTCCAAAAGGGGTATTCAGCTATGAGATTTTTCCATGCAAGAGGAAATTTAATTTTACAACATTATTTCACAAACACAAGTATGAAGGAAACTGAAGATGTTACAAAAATAGATTACCCCTATAGATTCTCTCTGGCAGGGCCTCAACCACAAAGTTGATGGCATCACATCAAATGGGGACATAACATAAACAGAGAAAGAGCTGGCAATTTAAAGAAAAATAGGTTTTTAAGATTAAATAAGTGTAATTAGCATACGCAGCAAATGGGAAAGTTTTGAATAGCCACTATGAGTCTATATAGAAGTCTATCCAGTAAATACATTTAATTACAAATATCAGCAAGCACTGCAAACTCATGCAGTTAAATTATAACAACATCTTTTCCCAGGAGTCACAGATAAATTAATTTATTCCTGTAAGAATGAATTTATTTCTGTAACATTTTAGAACAGTGTACATGGGACCCATGTGTGCAATAATCAGGAAAATGAAGAGAACCAAATGTCAATGTTTTAAGAAATTATGGTAAAAATTGCATATTTCTGTATATGAGAGCAATGTGTCTCTTGTCACAACCATGCAAACAGACACTGTGGCCATATTATGAGCCATATTATCAATCCAGAATAACTCCATCAGCTTTGGATGCACTTATGGGTGACCTGTGCTTTTTATTTCTAGAACAGCCTAGTTCTCCCTAGAATAGTGATGATAACTCTGGAACTACCATTTGGCAAAGAGCTCCTCTTCATGTTATGCAGTAGTGCTGTGTCTCAATCAATCAATTACCTGATGCCAATTCTGAGCCAAAGAGGCATTTATGCTTTTATGAACTGTTGTGTCAGACCCTGTTTCTCTGCCAAATCTCCTTCCTCAAAATTAAAAATGGGAAATCTTTGTAGACTCTTATATAGACTCCAGGTTTGTAAATCTACAGAAGGTCAAAATAATCTTCATATAAAAATTCAAAATGGATGACTTGCATTTATAAATCAAAAGCCAAAGTCGTAGTTCTGCGCTGACTTAAAAAAAACTCTTTTATAAGTCAAGTGTGTGACTGAACCCCCCCCAACTAGTAAAGTTACAATACAGTCACACTTAGCTCACTTTTTTATGTGACACTGCATAGTAAAATTACCTTTTTCCTCCTCTGTCCACTATTAGTGATCTTATCTGGAGTGACTCCAAGATCTGCAAGAACTTTAGCTATTCCTCTAGCATCCACTCCACAGTTTGGTGCCACATTTGTTTCACAGCGTCGATGTACATTCATCTTGCAAACTGCAATGAAATGTAAAGTAATACGGTAATTAAATACTACCTTGGCATGCATTTGTCTTACCTAAACCAGACCTTGCTGGACCTACCAATGCAGAACAATGTTTTCAGACAGTACCCAGAACAGACACAGGAACAAACGAAAATACCCAGCAATCCTGTAAATCTTAAATAGAACTTGAGTTAGATGGAGTCCTTCACAGCTTAGATTTTAGCAGTCCACTTCTGAGAGCAAACATTAATTCCTCATGTGTTATGCTTCTTACTCTTTTTTACTGAAGTAGATTAACTCCTAATGTCTGCAGACATAAAAGCAACATTGTTTTAATAAAAAGTCTTTGGCACTGTTAAGACACTTTAGATGGCACTCAATTCACTAAGCTCTTTCTCTTAAATGCCATCTCCTGAAACTAGAATACCAGTAAGAGGAAAAAAAGGTTACACTGTTTCCAGATTATGGGCTAGGGGGTATATAGGTCCATTAAAAATAGCACAGAGAGGATGGCAAACACAGACGTTATTTTATCTTAGACTTCACTGCCCCCTTGTGGAGCAAGGCATAAAGAAGGCAAAACTACAATTGTAATTAAGTACTAGATTAACAATCAATTGCTCAAATTCCTCACTTTATTCTTTTTTAGAGAACAAATAAACAAGAAAGTACATATTCATAAAGCTGCATTTCATTATAGTGTGCATCAGTGGTGCTTTCACTGTATAACCCCTACAGAAACAAGACCATTTACCTCTGAGATTATACACAGGCACTCTTATCAATGGCAGTAACCACACTTCAGAAAGCAGGTACCTTTCCTTTTCAAGTATGTTTCACCTTACAAGAATAGCAAAATGAAACTGCTACACACACTACCTTCAATGCATGTATATTCGGTGAGAAAAGCTCAGTGGCAAGTGTTTGAGCTAGGGTCCCTACCAGTGGATACTAAGGAACAGAAAAGCAGGAAAGTTTTGTACAGTCCAACTTCATGAAAATATTTTGTAAAAAAAAAAAAAAAGCACAGGAATAAGCAGTGGAAACACAGAAGAAGAATAAACCTCTGGGATACACTTTTCATGGTGTTAATAACCACAATGGGCAAGTACATCTCTGAAGAAGGAAGCATTGTTCAGCACTTGTTAAGAGAGAAAAAAAAGCACTGGGAAGCTCAGGCGAGTTCATGCAGACAATACTGCATGTTTACTGCCACAGATTTTATGATCATGGAGAAAGCAACACAGGCTCTCTGAACTATTGTTTCTATGTATCTGCTACACAGTAATAATGTTATTTCACACAGATACCTGAAATATTTTGCATACATATGTGAAATAGCATTATTTTCTTCAATTAAGAGCCAATAAGCCACTATGGTACTCAAGAAATAATACGAAACTGAAGTAACATATTCACAGATTAAATGGAGAGATACTATAGCTCTGATTAAAAAACAAAAAGAAAAAAAAATCAGGTTTAATTGAAAAATCTTCTCTGAACATATCTCCACCATAATTGAGATAGCATTTGAACAAAATCTTCAATAGTATTAAAGTAACAGTATTTAAAGTCTAACACTTTATCACTGCTCACTTGCTAGAATCACAAGGGAAGGTTTGAACTCAGAATGCTCACACTTTGTATCACTTTACCATGAAAGAAATCTCTTACTTTCCCTGCTGCGCAGCAATTTGCGATAGGAAACATTAGGTCTGACCTTCACCAACAATTATGTCTCATCTTTAATACTGCAAATTATATAGTCTATAGATTACATGTTTATACACACATGTATGACTCCCTGTTTCTGCAGTTGAGAAGTGTAAATAACATCATTCTTGTGTACATTAATAAGGACCTACCTATTCATAAAGGTGTAACAAATGAAAATGCTTCCAATTCCACTAAGCAGTACGTTCTGAGAATCTGTCAATCTTCATGAGATCACTCCCATCAACCCACTAATTGAAGTATTTTATTCACTATTTCTAAAATACTTTCTTTTTCAAGTGCTTGTACTGTTTTCTTCCCCATTTAGAATATATAGATCTGCTTGAAACAAGGAGATATGGAATCACCAATTTCTGTTAGTCTGCTAAAATGACATGAATGCATATTCCAGCAGTAACTTCACATACAGTTACTGTACCCAATACACAGTCCTTAAGCTGCAGAACATAATGAATCCTTTATCTTCTGGAACAGAGGAGAGGCAGACCCCCACAAAGGATGATTTTGCTAGGTATCAGAATACATCATCTTCTGGTTATGAGTGCACAGGACTGGTTCTGACTAGCCTAGCCAACATGTAATAGTAATTTTTGAAGGTGGTATTAATGGGAAAAGTAACTGGAAAAATAATGTTTGGAAAGTTTACCAACCATCATCACAAACACAAAAGCACAAAAGGCATATAAACTGGAAGGATATAAATTCTCATGCTCCTAATTTTCTGTCATCTTTTAATTTTCTATGTAGCAATAAACCTACATAGCAGTGGGTGCAAAATGCGTGTTTCTACGCCTCTGTCCTCTGCACCTGTTATTGACTGGTGTTGCAGACAGGACAAAGGACCATTTTCTAACCATCATGGCAAACCTTACAGCAATCTGCTACTTACTTTCCATTCATTTGTGTACATGTTGGAAAAGACAGAATCACTTGAAGTCTTTCCAAATAATTCACCAAGAAAAAAGAAAAACTCTGAAGAGGTAATCCTTACCTTTGCATTGTAAACCTTGTCTCAAAAGACCCCAGAGCAATGAACCACAGTGGTCACAGAAGGTGGGCACTTTGTAATTGTGAATGCTGAACTTGTGAGGCATGTTGACACTGAAACGCTGTGATCCCACCTGCTGGGAAAGGGCAGCACAGTATATTTCACTCTAATTTCTTTATAAGAAGTTTATGCTTTGTTATGTTTAACAGAATTCAAACAAGATGAAATAGGTCTATGCCCAGATGATCATCTTTGTGTTACATATAATCTTGCTCTAGAGGTCTTCTCATACTTTATTTTCTCATACTTTATTTGGGGAAAGGACGAGGAAGGGCCACTGTTGTCCAAGAGATAAAGACTAAAGTCTACTTCCTTGTACTTCTGGGAACAACAAATACATAGCTATCAGGAAAGATCTCTTTATGTGGAAGGCAAGGAAGTCACTCCCAATTGTTTGAGGAGCCGGAGGCCAAACTAATACAAGACTGAGAAAGAGAAATATATCACAACCTCTTTATTTTTTCATATCCCACTCTTCTTTAGATTGTGATAATGATAAATTGTTGCATTCAGGGATTCCAAAATGTGATTGCTTATTAATTAAAAAACATAACTGATAAGTTTTTATAGTGGTCACTGCATAGCAGGAGATTTATTTCAATGTTTTTCCTTCCCTTTCCGATTACTACTGGCTTCTCTCCAGTGATCTAGTACTCCTTCTAAACAATGAAAGCATTATATCAGGCAAAGCATGCAAGTCTCCACCAGTCTGGAGCCTGGGAATATAAATCTACACAAGATTTTGTATGTTCCTGTGAGTTCTACGCAAGAACAGCACTAGCCAAACACAGTCCTTTAATGACACTATGCACATGATCAAGTTTTGGGCATAAAATACTGGTTGTGAATCAGATACTAAAGAATGTTTCCAATATGAAAAATGGTAGCCAACTGCACAACAGGAAGAATGAGATCAGTTAGCATCTCAGTCAAATTCATATCAAAGTTGAGAGAATGGCTTTAAACCCTTACATACCACTGATGTGCAATTTAAACCTAGGCTTTTTCAAGCATATAAATGCAGGTTTTTACCAAATAAAACTAAGAAATGTACTTTTCCTGTGTGGCCAAAGAACTTGGATCACCCACAGACTACCTCACCTAATGAAGGCCCTTGCTGTTGCACAAAACAGAACAGGACAGTGAACTTTTCTCTTAATACATACACAAAACCCAACTGTATAAGATAAGCATTCACTGGTTGCAGTTGAGGGCTACAACTATTTAACGAAGACATAAACCCCACTCCCCTCCTCAACCCAACCACAAAATGATACTCCAAAGCTGAGGAATCTAAGGGAGTTGAACACTTCAGTAGTCACATCACTCGCCAGTGTACGACTGTCCACAGAAATTAACATTAATTTCCTAACCAAGCCTAGAAAGACCATCTTAGCCGAGAGAGGCCTTCAACCCAAGTGAAAACATAGCTTCATTTCCAATTCTGATCCAGAACTGAATATGCTGTTGGCAGATATACTTACCTCCCTGACAATATGGTTCTGAGGGCAGCTAAATTAATTTTCAGGTGATGTCTTCATTTATTTAAATGCATGATAACATAAAGCACATATTGTGTTAATTCCATTTATATACAAAAGCTTGCTAGAGGTAGGGAGTAATTATGCTGTAAAACCTGTTAGCTATGTAGTACCTTGTGTTATCACTACCATCTTTTACAATATCCATGGGTTTTCTTCAACACTCAGATGGCTTTTGCTCTACATTTTCACAGTCTTTGGTTGAGGTGAGTCTTCACAAGCAAATTCTGGGCAACGTTTTTCGTTGATGTAAGATACCCAAAGCATACTGCCTATGCTATCAGCTGCTAATGACTCAGCCACACAAATGCAGTTAAATGACAAAGGGTCCCAGTCTGCTTCTTTTGAATTAAAATGCTAAAACTTACATTAACTCAGAAATGGAGAATGCTAACAATGTAAAGGAGTGCAAAGAACCCACTGAGACTTAAGCGTTCAGATGTTACAATAAATTTACTAATTAGAAATAAATTGCTGTACAATAATTCCCATATAAATGAAACTGTTAGGGTAATCTGTCTTTCTAAAGTAAATGCTATACAACAAGATGACCAGAAGGGCACAAAGAAGTTTGTAACATTTATTGATTAAACAGAGGAGATGACACTATTTTGAATAGATGAAAGACAGAGTTTTATCTAGAAAATTTGTTATAAACATTTACCTCATCGTGAGTTTCCTGTTTTTTTAAGCCAGCACACTTCGTTATAATAAGTTCATGGCATCTCTTGTGGACTACACAAGTGCAAACTATAAACAAAAAACAGATAAAAGAATGAGTTTTCATTAAGATTGATTTGAAAGGAAAGGACTGAGCTCAGAAGACTAGAAATGCTGGGCCTTGAAAGGCTGAAAGTGACTGATGACTTGGTGAGTCCTATAAGTAAGTCTGGCTTACAAAGGCAGAAGAGAGAGACTTTCAGGAGACCAAAGAATTTTAAGAGAACTAAAGCATATCTGCCAAAATCTCAGTGTGTAAAACTAAAAATTACCACCTGAAATATTAAACACAATTTTTCTCATTTTTTACATATTTGATTTCTTTATCTCATGACCTCTGTATTATACACGACACAATGGCAAAACCAATTCCTGTCTGCAGAGCTTCCAGAGGAAAAGAGATATAAAGATTACCCATTGTAAAAGACAACAGAAAAAACTAAGTCAAACATTCTTTTGGTAACACATTATCATAAGTTAATAACAGTAAAAGGTTTCAGGAGGCAAAAATGCTCTGTCAATATTCATACTGATTACTTAATGAATAACATTTGCAGATACGACAGATAAAATGATTAGCAATTACAAGGTCTATCACACTGTAGGATTCATTAAGTGAAGAAAAATCCTACAGAGTGAAATAATTAATTTCTTTTTTTTCTAGCTTTGGTCATTGTTGTAAGGAAAAAACCCATGTCAGAACTCAAGGAACCTCTGCTGTAGGTGCAATAGGGTAGTTCTTATTATAGCATGTAAAATCACTATTTGCATTTATTTATTTACAATGAGATTTCATCAAGTCTTTTGTAACTGAAAAATCATCACTAACTTGATTATTTCTACTTGCCAGATAAGAATTAAGTAGAAAAACATCATCCCAAAAAATCAAGAGTACAAGAAATAGAGCTGAAAAATGGAGTTGAAAATGGAACACTTCTGCAGTCTTTGCTATAATGATGACCTCTATAATTATCTCATCTATTTAACTACAGTCTTTGCAATTACCTGGCATTTTTAAACTAAGAATCTTAGGCAGAATAAAAAATTCACAATTTTAAAATGCACAAAGTGAAAAATGAAGAAGCCAACATCTGCAGATATTCCCCCCCCCAGTTGGATGTGCATTGAGATACTTAAGATCTGCTGTTCAGTGATGTTAACCATGTTCAGACTTCATAAATAATGTCTAAGCCCAACAGTTTTGAAAAATCTTACTGTGATTTGCTATAAGGATTGTGTCTTTGGTGAGACAAACTTCTTATGATCATCTTGTGCTAAATTTTTGGCACTGTACCTATACAATGCTTGATAAAAACATCTTATATATTATAACACAATACATATATTCAAACTGTCCCCTTGTAGATATTCTCTTACCTTGACATTGGTATCCCTGTTTTCCTATTACACCCCTGAAAATAAAACAGTTTTTGAGAAAATGAAGAATGTGTATTTTTAATAATGAAAAACATTTTTCCCCTCTTTACTGGACATGCACAAGTTTAAAAGAATAGCTTCTTATAAACAATGGTCTAACAACTGTATGCCTAAACTGAAATCAGTTCTATGTAAGAACTATCTTTCAGCTGCCAAGAGGAAACAGGTAGAACGATAGGCCATGAATGGAGTTAGAAGTAAGGACACGTTTACTGTAATAAAATAGGCGAAGCCAAAGGGTACATGGAGAGGGAAGCCACAAGCTGATAAAACAATGATCAAACAGGCCCCTAAATAGAGAGAATAGATTACATTTGCCAATTTTGTTTCTTGAAATCATCTTAGCTAATGTAAAGATTAACTTGCACGTATTTCTTAGAGCAACGTAGCTGGGTTCATGTACAGTTCACATTGTTACACATTAAGGAAGACTGATTCATTACACAGTCATAAGAAATATTAATTACAGATCACATCAAGATCTTACATGTATTAAGGTAGAATTCAGTATCTCTAGGTAACTTTGGAAAACATCATTAGTGTTGTTGAAAAATAACTGAAAACCCAACGTTTCCACCACTTTTCCCTATTTGAAAATTGCAAGTACTCAAAGCTAATGTAAATAATTTCTAAAAGGGAGTTCTTGACATACATTGTAATAATAAAGACCCTGTACACTGAGTACCCAAACTCTGGATCATTAAAAGTCTAATATTCTCATATTCCGTTAACCTCAGTAGGACGTACAAGAGCTTGGCATTTCTTAGGAGGAAGATGGTGATACTTAAGTACCTAATGAAGAATTCAGTCATCTTGACAAAATGTAAAGGTCTAATATTAGGTCTAAATCTACACTTAGGCACCTAGAGAACACTAGACTGGCTGTCTACCCAGAATTCATAGTGTGTATCAGTCAGGAAAAGATTGAACCTTGTGGCTCAGAGAAGAAAAAAACACAAACACAACAAATCCTAACATTTATGATGGAAGTTTAACAGTCTTATCATCTGCAGAATTGATGACAACTTAATATTAAAATGAAGAGGAAAAGAACTACGACTGTATGCCATTTATACTTCAACAAAACAGGAGGGTATGTTAACTCCTCAGTTCAAAGTTGCAAAGAAAGCAAAGTTGTTTCATACCATATAAAATCTCTGCAGTGCGAACAGTATGTTGGCTGTCTAAGATAAGTGGCCATAAACTTGTGTCCATTAACCTGATGTACTCTACGTCGCACAGCACCCTGCCGCTTTCTGGGGCGCATGCGTTCCCGAAACACACGTTCTTCATTGTCTTTGGGTGCTGAAACAGAGGAAAAAGACAATAAGCACCGGCCATATCAGACACAAATATGGGAAAGCTCAAATGCAATACATAGTAGATATTCTTCAAAAATAGAAAGAATCCTCTCTACCTAGCAGTGCGTAGGATAACTTCCCTAAGTTGCGGGTCCATTTTCTTTCTTTAGCATCAATTACTAAAGGGGTTTTAGTGCCTAGTATGGAAAATTCTTTTTGTTCTAAACCTTTATCTGTAAATTCATGCTAAGCTGTCAGTAAGTCTTCTGCGTTTTATCACTATCAAGCACACTGACAACCTCTTTAACAGTCATTATAGCTGGATTCTTCAAACAGCTCATACTTTCGTCTCATTTGATCTTCTGGGGGGAAAAACATCCACCAAAAAAACCCTATAACCCCTGGTCCCTACACACTCAGAAAGTGCCAGAAAGCTGAGTACAAATACATATCATCAGGCAGAACAAAAATTCCATCCAGAACTGCTTACTTTGTAGAATTTGTGATTAAGACCTGAGCTTCAGGATCTAATAATCCACTTCGATACTAACACACCTTCAGCAAAATGTTCAAGGGAAGCAGGCTGTTCCTCTTTCCTGTTCCTCATTCAATTGTATATGAGATTTAATGGTAGAGAAAGTAAAAAATGAAGTTAAAGCACCACAGACTGAAAATGTTTGGAAAAAATCCTCCAGAGCACACTGGGTCATTTTTCCACAAGGCTTTATTTTGAAAAGTATCACTAACACATCCATAGTATGCTGTATTCATTTAGCAAAAGCTGAGAATGAGTTAGCAATGAAGAATACTACACAGTTGTCAATGAAAGATTTTACAAGCATTCCTTGAGCCACTTGTATGTCTGCAAAACAGACTATGAGATTTGGAGGAAACTGAATTCAGTCATCTGCTGTCACCTGAATCTATGCGCTCACTACTTCAGTGCATATAACACTTTGAAATGTATTTAACACTTGTCATTCTCTTAACATCAGCTGCCCTGAATCATTATGATGGCCTAAAGATGCAACCTTTGGTTTGATGCAAGAGTTTCTGTACACAAACAAGTTCTCCAAGCAACAGTGCAGTATTTCACAATAACACAAAATTAAAAGTCTGAGAATAACTCAGATCTATAATACCCTCAGATTCTTTTACAAACATGAAAATAAACTCTATTTTTGAGGCTTGGAAAATTAAAAGGTATTGATTTAGGGATTCTTAGAAAATGGTCTTCAATTAAGCCAATGGCTGGATATCCTGAGAAAATACTGGGCACAGACTCATGAATTGAGATCAGTTTCTTTCACTTAACAGCAAGGGATAGAACCCATGACATTAGCAAATTCATTTAGGCACTAAGCTCCTTACACATTAACACATTACAAAATCTTCATACTCTGAAAGTTGAGTTCCACCCTGAAAAGACACATCTGTGAGATATCCAGAATGGCATTGCTTTTCCATTCTAAGTGAGCTGTCAGTAAATACACAAAGCTAGGTCCCCCTTTAGCAAAGATATAAAAAGTACCAAATAGTTTTCAATTATATTTATTTTTCTGTTGTCAATTATGTTTGTGCATTAAAAAACCCTCTGATGTCTAAGGAATACCACAGCTCTTTGAAAGACTATTTTCCACACAGAATACGTAACGAGTAGTTAGAAATCCTACCAAAGACTCCTATTCCCAGCTTTCCAGCTTCTGAGTGATTTGCTGACTTTATAAAGCTGCTGGAAATATTCTGAAAGTTATTATTATACGAAAGAATTCTATATTAATGCAGAACTGTTCTTTTGGTTGTCATCCAGATTTGCTAAAGGATGAAGCCTGGATGTGAGAAAGTTAAAATCCCACTCTCCTAGAAGAGGTTCTCAAAAAGTTATCTGAATTGAACAAGATGTTCTGACAATGCAGAGTTCACACTTGATATGATAATCAGTCCACAATATCACTTTTCTCCTTTTTTTCATCTTAAGTGTAATTCTTCACAGATAAAGTACCTGTGATTTTACAGTGCAGGTAAAAATCCTGTTCTTGTTTTGGCTACATAAATGCAATAGCATGACACTATTTTTTTTTTTTAAATCAACAAAGACTTAAAAGTAATTTTACTTTATTACTTTCAGTTCTATAATTAATAATTTTATGAAACTACATTTTCCCCTTACAATACTTAAATAACAAAACAGTATCTTTTTATTTATTTATTCCCCCCCCTGAAGTGCAATGACTTGAATACAAGCAATACACATGGAACTATCAGATTAAATGGCAGGCCTCAATTATTGATACCATTTCCACATCCTTCTCTTTGGAGCATCCTTCTCTCTGTGTGTGAGAAGGATGCTCAAACAGCTCAGGGAAATGTAGTTTTCTTGGTCCATCTTAGATAACATTGGAGGTCTGTTAGTCAGTTGCCGCAAAACTGTCTCTCCTGTCAGTCTGCTGTTCCACGTTTATCACTAAAGACTAGAACTTGACCAAACTCAGTCAGTGCATCCCGCATTATGATCAACTGCAGAGATGAACTCCATGTTCAAGAGCAGTAACTACCCAGCAATGATCTGCCTTCACCTCACCTCTCATTACAGCCCGCGCACAGTCCCCACCTCGTCAGTCCGCAGCAGGACTTATTTGGGGGCTTGGAGAAGCATGTGGCATTACAGTGCATGACTGAACATTGGACGACTGGACACCAGACTTTCATCAAAGCAGACCAAGTCACAAGAGAAACTGACTCACCCATGAGCTTTACACTTAGTTTACGTTAAGTTCAGCTAGCTTGTTCACTGTTTCCCAACAAAAACACATAAACAATGCTTTTCCACAGTCTTCATGCAAACCACTGCTACACTTTGCACAATTCACATGGCTGTTGTGGACCACAGGCACAAAACCAGGCAGCAACTTTCCCAGGTGACTCAGAAGAGGATGATCACATCTGTGCTGGCTCATACCCAGGGTTGTGAACGACTCATTTCTAGTAGCACTAACAGTAGTCTTATGTTTAATTTAAAATCCACTTACCTCATACTCAACAGACACACTAAAGACATTCACTTAACTTTCTGAAGACACCTACTTAGAAAGAGAGCTACACTGCTCTCCCCAAACTTCTCTCATTGTTCGCAAGCAAAGATGAGTAAATGCTATCAGACAACCAGGAGTACTTGGGAAAATCCCCAAGTCTGATACAGCCAACTAGTGTTTTAAATACATACCTTAGAAAATGTTAGCACCCCAAAGAAAACTGGCCTTTTAAATATATTTGAAAAAGTCTTACAGTGGTATATAATAGATTCTAGAAAATACCACAAGGATACTACATGTGTGTGGCATTTCTATTCTTAGCAGAGGAGCTCAAATTAAAATTAAGTGGATTTGTCGTAGTCAGTCTATAAGCAAGTTCCAACACAAATAATTTCTTTTCTCAGTAGTTCTACTAGTCACAGAGAGTTATCGTTTCCTCAGAAAGAAGCTGTTTCTTTATGCAATGCACATTCTGTTCCCCGTTTTGATTTTGAGTCCTTCAGCCCTTTATATTATTCAGCTTATCCATTTTACATGCATTTATTTAACTTTCATTTTCAAAAGAAGGAGTAAGAAAAGCTCATGATAATTTCCAAGTGTTCGTGGAGAACACTGTCAATACAGCACATCGAGTGTAGGCTTTATATGATGGTACTTGAGAACTGGCAAATTTAGAACTAATTTTTTCTCAAAACTATACCCAGTAATGCCACTTCTTTTCATTGCAACCAAGAGTAACCCTGAATTATTTGGGAAACAATAGTACATAATAGCGTTTATAGACTTGTATGTACATACAAACGTATGTATTGCCTACAATTTCAGAGGCTGAAAAGACTTCAGGCTTAAGTCCAAGCTCTCAGGGAAGTGTTATAAAAGTCAGAAGTATCTGGCATGCAATATTGTACAAAATTTATAAATACTTGCAAAATGGATGTTTAAATGAACTTTCTGCTACTAGATTTAACACTTAATTGTCTATACTATCTGCTAAGCATGAATTACAAGTCATAACTTAAAAGGTAAGAAAGTGACACATCATGCTCAGCAACCCTCAAAGAGGGCACGATTAGAGGAAAAATACCCTGTACACCAAATAATCAAAGCTCAACCATGTCAGGTCCTGTTTCATACTAAAATGGTTTCAGCATAAACAAGAAGGGTTCAGTGTGGAGCGCTAACTGCAACAAACAGAAATATCCTGTATGGCAAAATGTGCCTGTTCCATTTCTTACCCTCTATGCTGCAAGTACTTACAGAATTCTGAGAATAAACAAAAAATTGGAAAAAATATGGCAGAAAAGGAGAGAGAAATTACACGTACAAAGAGGTTTTACGGTATTTTTTATTGCTTACAATGCTGACTTCTAAAAGGGAGCACATTGGGCACTTCCCTTAATCTGGAGGGGACTGGCATTGTGTTTGGGGAAGGAAGAAAATATAATCATGTTTTAGTTAAATGGCTACTGTCCCACTGAAGCCAAGCTGTAGTCCACGTACAACAGTAACACTTGCAGCAACTGGTGTAGCTGCCAGGTAACCCTCTCCAACTCAACACTGATGCCTCCATGGCAATTCCTGCTCAAAGGGCTTTTCACCCCAGGCAGCTCTGGGTGTCTTCATGTTGCTGTCATCTGTAACTACAACCAGCATCAAGAAAAAACAGCTGGTGTAACATCAACCCTTAATAATTCCACAGAGCCTAACTAAACAACAAATGCAAGTAAATGATGACTGTATTGATGTTTTATTGCTGAAGATTAAAATTAAGAGCTTTTGTATTGTATTTAGACCTGACCGCTATAACCAGTATGTATATACTGAAATAGAGCATTTATTTTAGCACTATATAATGTCTACATGAAGGAAGGATATTGAGGCAGGAGAGGTAATTTGCCTAAAGTTATGTTGGAAAGTGAGAAAGGGGCAGGACCACTGGCCAGGACACCCCAGGATTCAAGATGGAATAACCAGATCATTATACATTGAATTAAGTCTCAAAGGATTATTCCCAAATCCTGTTTCGGGTCTTTACAGTGGAAGCGTATATATACCAAGATTTTTCCACACTGAAACTGTTACAGGATTTTGCCTTCAATCTTCTTTAAAGTGGGAAAAAAGAAAAAAGCCTTGCTTAGTAATAACAGATGTACCAAACTAATTTTGTAACTTTGAGATAAAAAAACAGCAAGGTAAATGCTACAATATAATTCCATATAGCTGTTAGTGATGAACACAGGAATCAATTGGATAGTTTACCAGAGTTATAGAAAGAGCATATAATTTTCCTATGTCTTTTTCTGTATTTCTAGACTATTTCTTTAGCATGGAATAAACACAGGGCGTTTGCTTACTATATCTTGAATCTGCTTTCTTTAGAAAAGCCGACAGGAAATTTCTTGTTTAATAGGAGAAGAATCAGATCCTTAGATAACACTGTATTGTTGAAGATGATGAGTGTTACTAAAGAAATGAAAAAATGCTCACATAATGGGTGAGTTTTAGAAGAGATAGGTGTCTTGACAAGTCATGTCTGTTAACATGAACTATTTACTGAATGCATTGAAGAATAAAT